GAAGGAGGTCCTGTGAGGAGCGAAGGGTACGGGTAGGGTGGTACCTGGTGATCAGATTGGTGAGGTAGTCAGGGGCAGTGTTGTGAACGGCTTTGTAGGTCAGGGTAAGGAGTTTAAATTTGATGCGTTGGGCAATCGGGAGCCAGTGGAGGGAGAGGCAGAGGGGGGTGGCAGAGGTGGAGCGGCTGGTGAGGTGGATGAGTCTGGCAGCTTAGTTCAGGATGGTCTGGAGCGGGGAGAGCCTGCACTTGGGTAGGCCAGTGAGGAGGGAGTTGCAGTAGTCAAGGCGTGAGATGATGAGGGAGTGTACTAGAAGTTTGGTGGTGTCTGGGGTGAGGAAGGAGCGGATCTTGGCAATAATCTTGGTTATAATTTACACATCCTGAGGTATAGGGAATAGGTGATAGCGGCTGGCTATTTATTAGGTAATTTCATAGTTGAGCGCAGGAGGATATTTCAATTTTAAAAACTTTACCAGTATTTACCCTGCGACTGGAGCAAGTCAGAGAATCAGCAATCCGTTGGTCGATCGAACCAGCTCCGTACGAATCGCAAATGTCCCAATGCCCGGGTACCCCATTTATGGGGATATGAACGTAGGCGGGACATTAGTCCTCGGCCAATTGACCATGAGGGGTGTTCCTGTACCCGCCCACTTGGATGTTCTGGGTGTTGACCTGCCCAAGTTCAATCGGGGCAAGATCGGCTTGAAACATCAAGTCGGATATTGGATTTCCGACACCAGCGCATCGGCCCGATCATGACAGTACCAAACACCATTCGACTGTCGCCATCCAGCGCCACCTAACCATTCCCTGCATTTTCCTGGCCTTCTACCTAAACCACAAATATGATTTTTAGTGCAGATGTGGCCAACAGAATGCCCTACAAGAAGGGAGTATGTTAATCTCTCTGCAACTAATATTTTAGCTTTTATGAGAGATTAAACATACCCCTTTTAATGGATGGATGAAGCCGGAATCTTTGGGGTCACTTCCTTTAAACTGGTTTCACCAGAAGGTGACAACCTTATTAACACAAAAGGTGTCACATCCCGGAAGCCGGGATTTTCAGCCTAATTGATGCGAATTGTACCTCATTTTCCCATTGACAAGGACTGAATACACATCCTTAATGACAATGGAATGTCCCTACAGAATATACATCCTTAATGACAATGGAATGTCCCTACAGAATATACATCCTTAATGACAATGGAATGTCCCTACAGAATATACATCCTTAATGACAATGGAATGTCCCTACAGAATATACATCCTTAATGACAATGGAATGTCCCTACAGAATATACATCCTTAATGACAATGGAATGTCCCTACAGAATATACATCCTTAATGACAATGGAATGTCCCTCCAGTTAGGATTACATATTGCTACTGATCACATCTTATCTACTCAAATCTGTACATTTATGTCACCTGCACGTTACATCATTTACATGTACGTTACAGTCCTCTTTATACCAGTCCATGTTATTCCCCATCTTGTTGGCCCCTGCCCGGTGAATGGTCCTCTTTATAACCGTCCATGTTATTCCCCATCTTGTTGGTCCCCGCCCGGTGAATGGTCCTCTTTATAGCAGTCCATGTTATTCCCCATTGTGTTGATCCCCGCCTGGTGAATGGTCCTCTTTATAGCAGTCCATGTTATTCCCCATCCTGTTGATCCCCGCCCGGTGAATGGTCCTCTTTATAGTATTCCATGTTATTCCCCATCGTGTTGATCCCCGCCCGATGAATGGTCCTCTTTATAGCAGTCCAGGTTATTCCCCATCGTGTTGATCCCCGCCCGGTGAATGGTCCTCTTTATAGTAGTCCATGTTATTCCCCATCCTGTTGGTCCCCGCCCCCGGTGAATGGTCCTCTTTATAGTAGTCCATGTTATTCCCCATCATGTTGATCTCTGCCCGGTGAACGGTCCTCTTTATAGCAGTCCATGTTGTTCCCCTCTGCACTCTCGGCCTTGTCTTCACTCAGCCATCAGGGATCCCTCAACACCAGATCTGAAGCCGGTCTCCTCCCAGCAGCTGCTTTCTGCTCCTGTCACTTCGATAGACTTTTCATTGTCTGCTGTTAATTTATTCATGTTTGAAGCTTTCAGCTTCCTCCCGTGCTCTCCAGCCTCCTCCCGTGCTCTCCAGCCTCCTCCCGCGCTCTCCAGCCTCCTCCCGTGCTCTCCAGCCTCCTCCCGCACTCTCCAGCCTCCTCCCGCGCTCTCCAGCCTCCTCCCGCACTCTCCAGCCTCCCGCGCTCTCCAGCGCTCTCCAGCCTCCTCCCGCGCTCTCCAGCCTCCTCCCGCACTCTCCAGCCTCCTCCCGCGCTCTCCAGCCTCGGCGTTTATGGTGAGAAATGATAGTATTCCCCATGGCTGCTGTAACATTGTTGATATGTAAAGATATTCGGGGCCTGACAAGGCTGACTAGATGCCTGGGCTCAGCTGTGAGCACTTCAAAGCCATCTCTGCAGCTTGTGTGTGTGTTTTAACCGTGTCAACATGCTGTCATTATCAAAATTTAATTGAATATTTGCGGCTCGGTAATGAAAGATCGCAGAGGCTCCCGGTGACAGGAAATGATAAATGGCAGCAACTGGGGATGTGAGGCTGGCTTCTGCTGGATGGGGATCATTGCCACCTGTCCTGGCCATGGCCATGGTGGAGAGTGCCGGGAGTCGGAGAGCGGCGAGGAGTTACATAGTTATTCTGGCTGAAAAAAGACAAAAGTCCATCCAGTTCAACCATTAACAAAAAACAAATTATATTCCCACAGTTGAGTTATTCGCTTTACAATTAGGGTGAAAATTCAGCTGAAATGAGGAGTCCGGAAACGTCATGGAATGCAATCTGTGCAATTTATCGTTATTTAACCAAAACGTTGGAAAAAAAAACATTTCATGTGCAACTAATGCCCAAAAATGGACTGTCCAATGGCGTCCTGTGTAAGGATGTGCTAGGGTTTGGTCATAGGTCAATGATGTCACAAACATCCCTGCCCATCTGTTACATGTCAATGATGTCACCAACATCCCTGCCCATCTGTTACATGTCAATGATGTCACAAACATCCCTGCCCATCTGTTACATGTCAATGATGTCACCAACATCCCTGCCCATCTGTTACATGTCAATGATGTCACCAACATCCCTGCCCATCTGTTACATGTCAATGATGTCACCAGCAACCTCACCCATTTGTTACATGTCAACTATGTCACCAGCATCCCCATCCATTGGTTACATGTCAATGATGTCACCAGAATCCCAGCCCATTTGTTACATGTCAGTGATGTCACCAGAATCCCAGCCCATTTGTTACATGTCAATGATGTCACCAGAATCCCATCCCATCTTTTACATATCAATGATGTCACCAGCAACCCCATCCATTTTTTACATGTTAATGACGTTACCAGCCTCTCTGCCCATTTATTAGTTGTCATTGATGTCATGAGCAGTCCCACCCCTTTGTTAAATGTCAATGATGTCATCAGCATCCCCGCCATTTGTTACATATTATATTATTTTGTTTATGTCACCAGCAACCCCGACCGTTTGTTGCATGTCAGTGCCGTCACCAGCAACCCCACCCATTTGTTACATGTCAATTATGTCACCAGCAACCCCACCCATTTGTTACATGTCAATTATGTCATCAGCAACCCCACCCATTTGTTACATGTCAGTGATGTCACCAGCATTCCCGTCCCTTTGTTACACATGCGTTTAGGATGGGAAATTTCCTGGCTGCAGCTGATTGGACTGGCAGAATGCTATCACGTGAAAGTTTCCCGCATGTTCAGAAAAACTGACATATGATAGCAAGCCGCCTGCTAAACCCAGTGTGACCGGAACCCTCATAAAACTGTCACATGATGGCAAGCTGCTGGCCTGACCCAGTATGACCGGAACCCTCATAAAACTGTCACATGATGGCAAGCTGCTGGCCTGACCCAGTATGACCGGAACCCTCATAAAACTGTCACATGATGGCAAGCTGCTGGCCTGACCCAGTATGACCGGAACCCACAGAAAACTGTCACATGATGGCAAGCTGCTGGCCTGACCCAGTATGACCGGAACCCTCATAAAACTGTCACATGATGGCAAGCTGCTGGCCTGACCCAGTATGACCGGAACCCTCATAAAACTGTCACATGATGGCAAGCTGCTGGCCTGACTCAGTATGACCGGAAACCCACAGAAAACTGTCACATGATGGCAAGCTTCTGGCCCGACCCAGTGTGGCCCAAACTCACTGAAAACTGACCAATCAGCTAGAGCTGTGGAACTCCCCACCCCACAGCCACACGTACCAAAAGGTCATGGATGCCGGTGACATGATTGGTCTATATGGCCACAGGGCTGCATTTGGTCAATGACTGTGAGGAGGCAATATGTCAGCTCACAACCTGTTTGAACCCCTAACAACCGGCACCATTGTGTGGCAACCACATGCCTGGGACACAACTGAGGGGCATTTGTCCATTGAGTGGAATAAGCCACATTCAGTGGGTGGCAGTGACCACCAATTGTGAAGGGGGTAACATGGAGCAGTGCAAAGCATCATGGTCACAACATGTGTATACTCCCATCCACTACCTTTGCAGCTTAATGGGGAGCGGCTAGGGCCATGTTTTTACTGCCCACCAACTGCAAATGTCAGTGAGGAATAGGCTCTGAGGAAAACTCCTTTGCAAAATGAAAATCTATGTGTATGGCCACTATTAGTCTCACAAGACTCTACATCAGGAGTAAACATTCGGCATCTTCATTTGGGTGGAGCTTTCTGTGACGTCATCTCGTTTCGGCCGGTGGTCTGACACAGCGGGAATTTTAAATATTTACAATGACTTTATGCAGCTTATCTATGGAAGTGCAATACTTTAATACATTTTTTGCTGGTTCATCGGGTCATAGATACATAGTTACATAGTTAGCCTGGCTGAAAAAAGACAAATGTCCATCCAGTTCAACCATTAACCACTTCCAGTCCGGACACTTTACCCCCTTCCAGTCCGGACACTTTCCCCCCCTTCCAGTCCGGACACTTCCGCCCCCTTCCAGTCCAGACACTTTCCCCCCCTTCCAGTCCGGACACTTTCCCCCCCTTCCAGTCCGGACACTTTCACTCACTCCAGTCCGGACACTTTCCCCCCCTCCAGTCCGACATTTTTGCCCCCTTCCAGTCCGGACACTTCCCCCCCCCCCCCAGTCCGGACACTTTCACCCCCTCCAGTCCGGACACTTCCCCCCCCTTCCAGTCCGGACACTTTCCCCCCCTTCCAGTCCGGACACTTCCGCCCCCCTTCCAGTCCAGACACTTTCCCCCCCTTCCAGTCCGGACACTTTCCCCCCCCCTTCCAGTCCGGACACTTTCCCTCCTTCCAGTCCGGACACTTTCCCCCCTTCCAGTCCGGACACTTTCCCCCCTTCCAGTCCGGACACTTTCACTCCTCCAGTCCGGACACTTTCCCCCCTCCAGTCCAGACATTTTTGCCCCCTTCCAGTCCGGACACTTCCCCCCCCCCCCCCCCTAGTCCGGACACTTTCACCCCCCTCCAGTCCGGACACTTTCCCCCCCTTCCAGTTCGGACACTTTCACCCCCTTCCAGTCCGGACACTTTCACCCCCCTTCCAGTCTGGACACTTTTACCCCCTCCAGTCCGGACACTTTCCCCCCCTTCCAGTCCGGACACTTTCACCCCCCATCCACACTTTCCGGACACTTTCCCCCCCTTCCAGTCCGAGACACTTTCCCCCCTTCCAGTTCCGGACACTTTCCCCCCTTCCAGTCCGGACACTTTCCCCCCTTCCAGTCCAGACACTTTCCCCCCCTTCCTGTCCAGACACTTTCCCCCCCTTCCAGTCCGGACACTTCCCCCCCTTCCAGTTCGGATACTTTCACCCCCTTCCAGTCCGGACACTTTCCCCCCCTTCCAGTCCGGACACTTTCACCCCCTTCCAGTCCGGACACTTTCCCCCCCGCTCCAGTCCGGACACTTTCCCCCCTTCCAGTCCGGACACTTTCCCCCCTTCCAGTCCGGACACTTTCCCCCCCTTCCAGTCCGGACACTTTCACCCCCTTTCCAGTCCGGACACTTTCACCCCCCTTCCAGTCCGGACACTTTCCCCCCTTCCAGTCCGGACACTTTCCCCCCTTCCAGTCCAGGACACTTTCCCCCCTTCCAGTCCGGACACTTTCCCCCCTTCCAGTCCGGACACTTTCCCCCTTCCTGTCCAGGACACTTTCCCCCCCTTCCTGTCCAGACACTTTCCCCCCCTTCCTGTCCGGACACTTTCCCCCCTTCCAGTCCGGACACTTTCCCCCCCTTCCAGTCCGGACACTTTCCCCCCCTTCCAGTCCGGACACTTTCCCCCCCTTCCAGTCCAGACACTTTCACCCCCTTCCAGTCCAGACACTTTCCCCCCCTTCCAGTCCGGACACTTTCCCCCCCTTCCAGTCCGGACACTTTCACCCCCCTTCCAGTCCGGACACTTTCACCCCTTCGAGTCCCGGACACTTTCCCCCCTTCCAGTCCGGACACTTTCCCCCCTTCCAGTCCAGACACTTTCCCCCCTTCCAGTCCGGACACTTTCCCCCCCTTCCAGTCCGGACACTTTCCCCCCCTTCCAGTCCGGACACTTTCCCCCCCTTCCAGTCCGGACACTTTCCCCCCTTCCAGTCCAGACACTTTCCCCCCCTTCCAGTCCGGACACTTTCCCCCCTTCCAGTCCGGACACTTTCCCCCTTCCAGTCCGGACACTTTCCCCCCCTTCCAGTCCGGACACTTTCCCCCCCTTCCTGTCCGGACACTTTCACCCCCTTCCAGTCCGGACACTTTCACCCCCTTCCAGTCCGGACACTTTCCCCCCCTTCCAGTCCGGACACTTTCCCCCCCTTCCAGTCCGGACACTTTCCCCCCCTTCCAGTCCGGACACTTTCACCCCCTTCCAGTCTGGACACTTTCACCCCCTTCCAGTCTGGACACTTCCCCCCCTTCCAGTCTGGACACTTCCCCCCCTTCCAGTCCGGACACTTCCCCCCCTTCCTGAGGAATAGACTCTGGGGAAAGTTCCTTTGCAAAATGTGAATGCCCTTGAAAAGCGATCAGTCTATTAGCCGTTAGTAAATCCTCCCGCCCGTGTCTTGAGCGTTAGACCCAACATTGGGAAATAATGGGTATTCTGTATCATGAAGGGCCCGCAGTCCATCGCATTGCATGCCATGTACCGTAATTATGTTCCATTTACATTCTCTAATAATACATATTTGGATAAAAGCCACAATTCTAAAAAAACATAATCTGTTATTTTTTCCCACCATATGCTGTAACATATACTTGACAGCTCTTTGGCCACCTCCATGCTGCACGGTCCATTGCATGATGTGTACGAAGCTATTCACATCACACCAATCATTTCCCCATATGGTGGAACAAATAGACGGCAATCGCCAGTTGGCCAAGTTTTTTTTTTTCCTATTTTCCAGAATGACTTTTCTTTAACACAGACTGCGACTCGCAGAGATTTGTCCTAAATTTCACCAAAACGCCCTCATACAATGGCACTGCCGAGAGCCTGCTACCGGCGCCATGACGTCCAATAGGAGAAGCGTCAGAATAGGAGTTTCAGGATCAGATTCCGCCTGGGGGGATCATTATTACAGCAACACAGAACTTCCCTCCCCCATTGTTATCCCGATCCATTATCACTGCATCACCTATAAAGTGAGTGCAGAATTACAGCGCACAGTCTGTGGCCCCCAGCACATTGCTATACCGCCTGCAGAAATGGGGCCAGACTACATATGTAAGTGTACTGCAGGTAAGTAGGTGTCTGCTAAAGAGGCCATACACCTCTGAGATAAAAAATGAACGAAGCATGTCCTTCTATAGTGTGTACTTGCCTCAATCCAGAGCACTATATGTGATTTCTGTCTGCTGTCAACTTCCTCTGCTATCTGCATGAGTCACTTCTGACAGTCTATGGGGACACCAGACAATCCCGGGAGATGTTCCAGCTCCCCTCCAGAACACATCAGGTGATTGACAGCCTCAGCTGGTCATAGTTACATAGTTAGTCTGGCTGGAAAAAGACAAAAGTCCATCCAGTTCAACCGAAAAAAAATAAATAAAAGTTATAATCCTCCACCCACAATTGAAGGCAAAAAAACCCAGCAAAGCACGATCCAATCTGCTCCTGCAGGGAAAAATTCCTTCCTGACCCCCCCGAGAGGCAATCGGATATTCCCTGGATCAATAATCGGATATTCCCGGGATCAATAACACTGTTCAACAAATTTTTATTTTTTGCCAGTTTTGGAAACAAAAGGATCCATTTCTTAATGAATTTCACATCTGAGTTCAAATATAACAATGAAATTTCAATTGGCTCTAGTTTTTCTGTAAACGGAAAGTTTTCTACTATAGGCGTAATGACAATAATGCACAATAATTATATAGATAGATGTCTTTCCACAAATATACAGCAAGTGATATGACTACATAACAAAGCCTAAATGGCAGAATATATTGCATAGGATTACCAAGAACAATTATAGCCATAAGCTAAGTTGAATCATTTTAATACTTCGGATTCTCACTAGTTTTGTCTTCAGTTTGTGTCGGTTTTGCTTCTCTTGGCTTTTCTCTTGTATTCGAGGAAAGGGCTATCTCTTACAACTGCACGTGACTACACGCTTCAGGTTCTTCCTCACTTGACTCAACCACGAAGGATTCTGGTGCTTTAGGAATTGGTAGCCCCTCCCATGAGGAACTGGACGTATTGCCGATGGAATATTTGGATAGTGCACAGATAACTTTTTCTTCTTATTTAGCCCTTTTACAATTGGAGGCATCATACAAAAGTAACAATTACTAACATGATCTGTTGGCTCTCTCCAAATCATTGGCACAGCGAAAGGCATAGGTGCCTTTTTTCCATTCAACCATTGCTCCAGTGCCGTCCCACAAGAATTGCAGCATATATGTGGTGCCCAGCTCTTGTCCTGGTCTCCTATCTTGCAGCCAAAATACAAGTTGTAGGCTTTCTTAATCATTCCTGTTATCCTCCTTTTTTGTGAGATAAAAGTTATTTCACCGCAGATATAGCAGAAATTATCTGCTTTATTCACACAAGTTGGAGGCATTACTGAGTAGCCTATATAAGCAGAAAACCAAATGTAAAGACGAACTCCAATCAGCTACAGATACTGCAGCTTTTATGCAGTGAAGTGATGCAATTAAAGGCTAATATTGCATCATCTCAGTATACATGACATTTTCTATTGGTCACCAGTATCAATTGCGCAATATGCAGCTGAAGTTGCATCATAATTTTGAATGGCTTACGTCATTAGATGGGTGAATATATCATGGAAACTAGAGCCAATCAACATTTTTTAGGGTCATTTTCGTTTACAGCACCCCAAAATTATGTAAGATTAGCTAATTTTATGCCCAAAACTTTTTACCTGTTGAACAGTGTAATCGGATATTCCCGGGATCAATAATCGGATATTCCCGGGATCACCTTTCCCTATAAATGTTATATCCAGTTATATTCTGTGTATCCAAGAAAGAATCCAGGACTTTCCTACAGCAATCCACTGAGCTGGCCACACCCAACTCTGGAGGGAGTCTATTCCACATTCTCACAGCTCTTACTGTGAAGAAACCTTTCCGTGTTTGGAGAATAAATCTCTCTCATAGTTCCATAGTTAGTCTGGCTGAAAAAAGACAAAAGTCCATCCAGTTCAACCATAAAAAAAAAAGTTATAATCCTACACCCACAGTGGATCCAGAGGAAGGCAGAATATCCCAGCAAAGCACGATCCAATCTGCTCCTGCAGGGGAAAAAGTTCCTCCCTGATCCCCCGAGAGGCAATCGGATATTCCCTGGATCAACGTTCCCTATAAATGTTATATCCAGTTATATTCTGTGTATCCAAGAAAGGATCCAGGACTTTCCTACAGCAATCCACTGAGCTGGCCACACCCACCTCTGGAGGGAGTCTATTCCACATTCTCACAGCTCTTACTGTGAAGAAACCTTTTTGTTTAGCCAATAGAAAGCACTAAGGGGAGGAGAAGGATGGAGAACTGCTGATTGAGCAGAAAATGCAAAACAAAACGCTTGTAAAACGCTCAAGTCGCACATTTTCAGGCATTTCTTTTGAAGTCTATGGGGCCACAAATGCTTGTAATCTGCCAAAAATAGAAGCTCATGTACTTTTGTGAGCAGCAGGCTTTTTTCTTGAGATGACAGAATGCTCATATGTGAACAAGGGCCATTGAAATGAATGGGATTTGGCTTGTTGAGCATTTTAAATCTACAAGCATCAAGCAGAAAGTCGCTGGGAATGGATCCTGACTGCTATGGCTGCACAGTGCTGGGCTAGCGGTGATATCCTATAGAAACTTGCATGGGATGTGGAAGGAAGTATAATACACGGACGTTTCAGGGCTGCGGTGGACTCATTTCTTAAAATGTAAGGCGACATGTAGATGAGGCCACAAATTGGGCACCCGCTGGGGAGGGACCACACACACAGGGCCACGATGGCTTGTTGCGTCGTATTTCCCCTCAGAAGCCAAGAAACTGTAAGCTGTACACTTCTGTTAGATTTGTGGCGAGAGGTTACAGTTGCATCTCAGTGTGCAGTATGACGGCAGCAGGGGCGGACTGACCGTTGGGGCACTCAGGCAGTGCCCAAGGGCCCGGGGGCTGTAGGGGGCCCCATGAGATGCCCTTGGCAGCTTTCATAGGCTTTTTTGGTTGTGGTTTGAGTGTGGGCTAGGACCCAGGGGGCCCATGATCCCCTATTGCTCAGGGGCCCCATGAGTTGTCAGTCCGCCCCTGGGCAGCAGTGGTAAATAGGGCATACCACCTATATTTTGGATGCAGAATAGGGGACCAGGACCGGAGTTGGACCCTCATTATTGTTGCATTATATGTGCACCTTATCATTGGTTAAAGAAGAAGAAAAAGTCCATGCCTTTCGCAGTCCCAATGGTGTGGAGGGAACCCCCCTATCATAGCAGCGACTGCCTTTCT